CTATCCTCTGCACCCATTTTGTCTGTGTAATCTGAGAAAATTTGTGAGCTGCTCGTTTTACGAGTGTATGTTATCGCTCAGAATGATTGTATGAATTAACAGTAGAGGTTAGAAAGGGCCTTCAGAAGTTTTGACAGGTAGTGAACCACACTCCTTCCACTCAAATCGCGGAAATCCTTACAGCATGTGATGTGTACAACCAATAAATTTCCCAAACTGGCCTCTCACCATCTGGCCAAACTCGCCATCTAAAAACTCCAAAGTATTAAAAATGAAAATACTCAAAATATACATTTATTCATATACCAATTAGCGAAATATATAAAAAATATTTGTTTGAGGAAAATACTTATTTTTATTGAACTTAATCAAAACATTTATTTTTTAGGTGATATGCAATTGGTATATAGGAAAACCATGGAGCACTACTTGGATTTCCATTAACTTTCAGCGCTCTCAAGATTAAACGGAGAAAAAAATATGTATTTGCCCAAGTCTGTCCCTAATTGATGATCTTAGTCACAATAATGAAGGTGTGTACCAATATCAGTACTTTGGATTCCTTCTTTATATGCAACATTTCTGAAGTGCAAGTCACTTGTGGATTCAGTACAGATGATTACTATCTTCTTAATACTGTCAAAGTCGCGACAGTTTTGAAATGAAATCCCTGAAGAACAAAAATTGAAATGAACAAACCCTAAAGAAATCAAATTATGACCTTTAGGGTACTGCAGATACGTACCATCAGTGCACAAGAAATTTACACACATAAAAAGTTGTCATTTACTAGTTTAAGTGAAAAATTAATTTAAATAGCAGTTTATTTATTTGTACCAAATTTAAAAAATAGTTCCAGACAACCAAAATGTAGAAAAAGTAGACTTGCCTTTGGCCTCAAAATAAACGCCGCTGCAATCAAGTGAAAACAGTTTTCTTGGCAAAATTATTATTTTTTATTAACTTTTCTTTTGCCCTGACAATATATTAACAATTTTGGAGTGGAAAACCTGGAGAACACCAGCTGCCTTCCCTTCACTTAGCAACTGGTTAACGGGGTGAGGGTTGTGCAAAGCTTATCAGGAAACAATTGGGTTAGCCTGGAACTCTAAAGTGGTCTATGGTACGAACAGAGAAAAATCAAAGAGAAAGTGTTTTTATGGACGTGGATATAGTAGTAAAGAGGTACTTTAACATTGAGTACTCCAAACACCATTAATTTAAACCTTAATAACAACATATAACAAATTATTGCTACATAGACCACTTATGCATTGGTAACACCACACACTCATCAAGTTACTGATCATCTCAATAGGCCTAGAAGAATAACCACGCCTCGTTTCCTGGGAACCACGCCTATGGTTGATGTGAAAGAGACAGGTAAAAGGGGTGATGCACTGGAGGTACAAATTTTAAGTTCTTTAAATCCTGCATCCTTTTTATGAGTAAGTAAATTGAAATACTTGCACATATATTGAGTGGAGCTCCGCAAGGAATCATATGAAGCTCTTTAGGCTTACAGATAGTTGTTTTAGATCAAATGATTTGTAAATGACCATGTAATCCTCATCATAATGCTTCACATAATAGTCCTTTGACAAATTTTGAAATTTGCAATTTGAAACCCATCACACCATCCCCAATCATCTTAAAGTTTGGTTCAGTCAGTCGGGTCAGTTCGGTCATTCTTAAAGATTGGTTTAGGTCAGTTGAATGACACCAAACTACCCCACCCTACTTATGACAGCAACTAAGGAGACCTGTTTCCTACAATTTTTCAACCAATTCCATTCTGTTTTTTCACTAATTCCAGGGGTAAATAATGTGCTTTGCCTTACGTTGAGGTGTAATAATGAAACGAGATGTCTCTATCATAAAAAGGGGTATAGGGTAAATGTGTGACAATTACAAGAGAGTGCACACAAATTTCATTTTGTGTGGTAAATTATTCACATGTATATGGTTGAAGAACATCACATTCCAATGGTCTATGTAACGAATGTGGACTTAGACCACTTAAGAATTGACTAACATTACAACCATGCTGCCAATATTAAAGTGGTACTTCATTTATGCAACACCTACGACAAATGAACACTTTAGAATGTTGTGGTTTACCTGTTCAAATCAAATTAATCATAATCTGGAATTTTCGCCAAAATGTTTCATAACTACTTTAATTCTAGGCCAGTCATTTTTTCGTAACATACAGAGAGTATATGGCAGGATAGCAACTGTCTGACGAAGTATACCATGCAAACCAAACACAAAAGCCCAAAGCTTGAAGCAACTCATGGTTACATGAATAAATATTTCTTTATATATATCGCATGTATATACATTTTGTAACGTGTATGCTCTTACAGTAAAAATATGCTCATGTCAAAAATAGCACAATACGATTTTGTATATAATCCAAACAAGAAATGAATTAATGGTCTTTGATGCATATCAACATGTTTACAGGAAAAAATGCAAACATGTAAAATCACCTTTTCATAAGTTTGCCTTTTTGGTTGATTATCCTGTGCATGCTTATGTAGAATAGGAAGGCATGGCTCTCAGTAATATATTAAGAAAGGAACAAATAACAACACGTGGTGGAGGGAAAAAATAAATAACAACACCCTTTATTATTATTTGGCAATCCTGGAGTTACTGAGGTAGGTGTTCAGATGTAAGCTTTCCAGGTTCGGGAGTGTCAACAACAGTGACCACACTAGTGTAACTTCAATCCTTTCATTCTTACAATTCCTTACAATCATTCCCACTCCCAGTACTTCTTTTTTAAAACTATTTATTTTTATTTGTTCCATCTTTACAATTCATCTCTTAGCCCCCTTGGGCATTGAGTGTATTGGATTACCATCCTGTAAATTTTGTCTCGTCACGTTGCAGTCAGTCAGTGTAATTTCATCCCTTTGGCCGTAGGCCAGGGATCCGACCAGGAAGTCCATGATGCCTCAATTTACTTAACTTCTGTAACTTCACAGATCATAGTCAGTAATTCGGCCAACTATGCTGAGTCACTATTGACAGTTCTTTGATTCCTGCAGCCTTTTCACAATGTAAAGCGTTAGCTTTCTCATTGTATATAGCTAGTCAAGTGAGTATTTATTGACATCATTAATTAATTTGGATCAATAACAAAGATCATTTTGTTCCATAGTCACAGTTAGTGCATGTTATATTCCAAGAGGTGGCAATGATCCTCCCTCCTAACATGAGCTTCGATGCTGATTACATGGACTTGCAAGGGTTTTCCACCTCCTGCCATCTCAACCATCCTGCTCCAGCCAAGATAAGATCTTCAGCTCCTGACAATGTGTGGTACAGAATTGAAAGAAAGAATGTGTATGTAAGGCGAGAGGAGGAAGGTATGATTACATGCAGTCGTACAGAAATCGAAGTCACCAGCCAGCAGAGACCGTTAAGGCAGTTGTGCTGTAGCAATCTCGGACTAAAGGGCTGCGGGGTTGCAGCCCGCCTTGGCCTTGGGCATGGTAGTGTTGTGGTCTACATGCAATGTGCTTATGTGTCCTATGTGGTTGGCATCAGGAAGGCCATAAAAATATCGCTTAATCTGAGTAAAAATTTGTATGCAGAAAATTAATAAAAAAAAGGAAAAAGGGAAAGAAAAATAAAATATAATAATCGAAGAATTACTGTATTTACATTTTCTATAAGTTTTCTTTTTAAATATAGATTAATATTTGAATATTACATAAAAAGATTCAATATTACTGGCACACATTAATAGTGATAGTTTTTTCAGCAACACCAATATTACACGTAGGTCTAAATGAAATAGTAAATTCTGCTTATACAATATTATAAAACACATCTGTCTGGCGGAGTAAGCAACTTGAAGAATTTGAGCTCTTGAGAGAATTCACAATTTCCTATTAACAGTTTTTACACCTTTTAGATGTAAATCTACACCTTGACCTTCATAAACCTTCTACACCCAAGACATTTACCCCCAGCGAGATTTTATTTTTAGTGGCAATATTTCTAGCATCTGTAATAATGATTTTGTAGAAATACTAATTCCTGTTTTTCTTTCTATTTCCAAAACCCAAACTAATAAGATTTATTTCTTCAGAGAAAGAGATACTTTTCCCTTAT